TGTTGTGGGATTTTTATTATTTGAAGGGACCCTCTCTGCCCCATCTTTGATCTGCCTAAACTCGCTGTAGCCGATTCTAGTGAAAGGTCACAGCTGTTATCTGTGGGTGCCCAACTTCCACATTTTCATAATGCAACTTTCAAGACCTTGTATAAACTGCTTCGGTGGGGGCAGGGTGTTCTGCAAAGGACATATAGGAAGACTTGATTGACGGGGTGTAGAAGATGAGAATTTCCCTCCGTGGGTTTCCCACCTGGGGAAGAGACTGGCTCTTGTGTCCAGGTCCGGGCTTTGGGGCTGAGCTCCGCAGCTGTCTGGCGTGCATCCCGCTGGCTGGAGGCACTGTAATGTGGGGTAAAGACAGAGCGTCATGTCAGCACTGTACAGGCTAATAACTGCACTTATGCTCATCTGGAATCATGATAAGAGAGGAGAATAAAAAAAATTATAAAATCTCTGTTTTCAGATAGCGCTTAGAACATTGCTCTGAGTTAACTTGACTCATTCGCGGCTTGTTTCCTGTGAGATACTAAAAATGCCATTGCTTGAAGCCCTGAGTGAACACATGGGAACCGTTTCTTTTGTGGATGAAATCAATTCATTCTGTGTCGCATCTGATGTTTCATACGTTACATTTTCTCTTACTTTATACTGTTTTCTTACGAAACGATAGTCCAAGCTCCTACATATATGATGTCCAGCTCTCAGCTACAAAATTTTAATAATCCTTATTTACCTACCTTGTGTTCTAGTGACTTAAGTACTGGCTTTGAAATCTATGGACGTCAAGAAGCTAATGCATGAAATAGCGATTCTATTCTGCGTAAACATCTGCCAGACTGTTCTCAAATTTAGGGCTTTCAGAGAGACCTGGCTTGTGATTCCTGAACACCCGTAGATGAAATATTTTGAAGTACATCTGAAGTTTCAAATAATGGGTAGTAAAGGATAACAATGTGCATTTCCTTCTATTGGAAAGCTCTCAAAACTTGTCGAAGTGGAGCCCACAGGTTAGGAAAAAGCGTATGGGAATAAACTTTGTAAAACTAGGGCCTAATTACATACAGAGTTCCCCATGATTTTAACGAAAACTCATAGGACGGAGAGCTGGTAGGGGAGGGATGTTATGACCCAGCTTTCGGGGCACAGCAGTTTAAACTTAGAAGAGTGAAAACCAGAAGAGAATATATTCAGATAATATCTTAGTGCTCAGCTTGTCTAAATAAAAACTGCAGGATCAGTTTCTCAGCACGGAAGTTCTTGACCAGTTGTCATTTCTCCCTGCTGAAGAAAGTAATTTTTGCCGAGAAAACCGCTGACCCAGTAAATAAGCAGTAGTAATGTAATTTTTTCCTGTTGCCTGCTGGAAACTGGGGTAGCCCTATCCTTCTCCATCAGTGTAGGTCTCCTCTGCCCCCACCAGCCGAAGGGATGACAGAACAGCGACAGAAACAAAGCGTTGAGGGACTCTGTGCTAGAGCGAGAACCTGATAACGTCTGAAAAAATCAGAGGCTCCACTCTACCAGATACTGAGCACTTTGGTCATCATCCAGCAAAGCTAGACACGGATTTAAAATTAAGCAAGTTCTTCCAGGATTGACCCAATAGTCTTTTTATTAACGACCCTGGCGTTTGGATGAGGCCCTCAGTGGCAGCACCAGGTCACTGCAAACCTTGCAGAACTGAGCTCGAGCACCTTTCTTTTAATTTTTCGCTGATTTTTTTTTTTTTTTGGCAGAACTTGTAAAATTACACAAAAAGGCAAAGACAATTTCTTAAGAAAGTAGATTTGAAGAAAATTATCGCTTTATCACCAGGTCTTCCCAGAAGCATCCTAGATTTCAGAGCTTTTTAAAAAGGGAAAAAACCACTCTGCATAAATAGTCAGTGCTAGTATGACAATGCAGACTTGTGCCTCTTTTGATGCTAGGATGTGTAAATCCCAAATAATTGTTTGAGCTATGTTGGCATAGACCCATCCCAAGGGATTCATGTCCTTAACTAAAGGGAAAAAAATCCTGCAGTTAAATGAGATAAAATTCTGGCTCTATTTAAAACAGCATCAAAACTTAAATCAGCTGGGCAAACAGTCTCATCTGTTGTAGTTACTCATTTCATGCTGTTCAGAGAAATGACATCCCCAGACTTAGTCTTCAGATTTACATTTCCCAATGGAAAGATGACTGCGTGTAAAATCCCTCAGGTGCCTTTTCTAGTCCTTTAGCCCTTGGTGAGACAGAAATTCCCTTTGCTTCCAGCAACACTAACAGTCAAAGCTTTGTGCAAGCTCAGATTTACAATACGGGCTCATATATTTTTGGGTTCATGCACAGATGCTGGGGTTCTTCTGTAAGTTATAGGTTAAATCCAGAGGTTATCTGTGTTGATTAGGTCACTTGGAGTTGTTTATAGGTAAGTCTTACAATCTTGGGGGGTGGGGGGGAAAGCAGTTTTGATTTTTTTTAGCAATGAAAGCATTGCTAAAAGAGAATTAAAGATGTGAAGAATAGAGTGAGAACTTTGTGGTTGTTGGCGATCGTCAGCTTGCACAGACATAACCAGTATTTCTATGAAACAGTGAGTCCAGGCAGCTTTTTGAATGTACTTTTGAAAAACGACAATCTTTAATTATGGAAGAATCACGTTATGGGAAAAGTATTTCTTTTATAAAAATAGCATGAATTGAGACACTTGACTGAGCAATTCGTGTTCTGTCCAGTAGAAGAAAAATTTTGTATCAAAGACACTCAATGTCCTAGCAAAATTGTAGAGGCCTCTACAGCAATGAATACACATGATACAGAGATTTTCATGTTTATGCATTATTCTTTGAAGAAAAATGAAAAAAATAGCAAATTTCTGCATACTCTTGTTAACTCCTTAAATTTTGAGCTTTTTTTTTTTTTTTTTTAAAGCAAAAGAAGAGTGAAGTCCTGCTCCCTCTGATGTCAAAAGTGGATAAATCGTTTACTCCACTGGCAGAAAAAATGAGGATGTGATCCCTGTTCTAACTTGACCAATCTTGTGTTTTTGTTTTTTCTTCTCCTCCTCATTCGGATGCTTTCGGAGTCCATTTTTCCTTCTCCAACAATTCTTTCATTCCCTCAGGGAGCCGGTGGATGAAGTCCTCCAGATTCCCCCTTCGCTGCTGACATGCGGTGGTTGCCAGCAGAACATCGGGGACCGCTATTTCCTGAAAGCCATCGATCAGTACTGGCACGAAGACTGCCTCAGCTGCGACCTGTGCGGCTGCAGGCTCGGCGAAGTGGGGAGACGGTTGTATTACAAACTGGGCAGAAAGCTCTGCAGAAGGGACTATCTCAGGTACATGGCTTCCCCAACCTGCTTGTTTTCCCCTCGCTCCCCTTCTTTCTATCCTTTCAGCTTGGCTTAGTCATTTAATTAGTACAGCTAGCGAGCAAAGATCCATAAAGGATTTGATTTTGCCTACTCTTATACGTAAAGCCTTGCAGAGTTCACTGTTCTAACACAGCACCATTTGCAAGCTCAGGTTTACAATATAGCTCATGTTTTGGGAGTTCCTGCACAAAGGCTTTATGGTAATGCCGGAGTTCTTTGGTAAGTTATAGATAAATCCAGAGGTTATCTGTATTGATTAGGTCACTTGGAGTTGTTTGCATGTTAAATCTTAAAAATCCTGTTGGGAAAAAAAAGCATTTTTTAATGAAAATGAAAGCATTGCTATGTGTTGTGGACAAGAGAGAATTAGTTGAAAATGCAAAGCATGGAGTAAGAACTCCTAGGACTTTGGGGTTGTTGGCATCGGTCAGTCTGCACAGGCATATAACCTGAGAGCTCCAGGTGAACCGCACAGTGTCAGCATAGGATTCTGGCAAGTAGAAATTGGGAAAAGGTGATGAATTTCAGCAAGCTCCCCCTGAGCTGACAATGAACTGGTTCCCCCAAACGGTTTTAAGAAGTTCTGCGCTTCTCCAAGCATTACCTTGGAGCTGAAAGGTGTATAAAACCAGGTGCCAAGATTGGCGACTGATGAAAGATCATCATCGTTCAGCCTGGAAAGATCATTTCATTCTCTCATTTAAGAACAATGTTCTTGAATTCATTTTCCTGATGCAGTAATATCAACTCTATAAGAGATGCTCGATTCCACGAGCCAGCGGGACTGCTGTACCTGCTTGCTGTCTGAAGCCACCACCTTTTATAGGCCGATTGGTCCCTGTCTTTTTCTGTGTTGCTGGTAAAGCTATCCGGGACACTTGGAGCAGAAAGATGCAATGTGCTGTATGTTTATTGCAAAGCTAGGGCCAGTACAGGAAAGTTTGCTTGCACTAATTTGGATCCACTGGATTTTTAGCGTTCTTAAGCCTGGTCCTGAATAGACAAGAATTTGCACGTTTTGCTGAATCAGATCTTACAAATACACTTCTTACAGGTGTTTTCATTAACATCTCTGCCTCTCCGTTTTACCAAAATTTGTAAGCAGAAGGATTCAATTGAGTTTGAGATATTTCACAAAAATTGGTAATAAAGGATCTTTACACTCTTGATTACAATGAAAGTGTATTGATCTTGGCTGTGCTGGTTGTGTATCAGTTCTTCTAATGGATCCCTAATGTCACAGGAGGGCTGTGGAACAGCATAATGGTATTTGATATTTTTTCAGCTACCTTACTGAAGGCTAATTTACCTGCCCATAAAACCAAATCAGAATCTCAGAGGAGTTCCTAATTGTGGCGTCCCTGAGCTTTACCAACAGGAATTTTGGAAACTAAGGACTGAATTCTCCTAATGGGGCTGCTTGTAAATACTCCACATACACAACAGTCCAGCAGTTAGTTTCCAAATACTTTTCATGTTAAAATGGAAGCAACAGAAAGTATGGCAATAAAATTTATGTATTTTCTTGCAGTGAAATTCAACGTTTTTATTTATTTAATAGTGCAACATACAATATCTTCCTTTCCTAAACAAAAATTTAGCAACCTTTGAGTAACCTTAGTATTACTTTCGTTGGGCAGAAGTAAACACTGACATCTCCTGGTAGGCGAAAGAAATTATGTCTTTTCCCCTAAAGGTCTCTCTTAATTTAGTAGGCATCCTTTTTCCAGTTCAGAAGATGATACGAAGCAGGCACAGAACTTGCAAGAGCAGTGTAGGAGGTGGAAAAAGTCTTTCCTGGGTTAGTGTGGAAACTCAGAAGTCAAACTCAATAGGTGTGTACATTGAACAAGTAATATGCAGCATTTCTCTCCCCTTTTAAGAAAAAAAAAAAACACAACATATTTCTGCTTAATTATTAATGATTTGACTTACAAACTCTGTAGCCAGCAGACTGCTTGAAAGACTGGTGTTCACCCATAGCTGAGTATGTCGTACAGCTCCAGCTGAATGGTGGTGCATGTTGTGAGGGGAATACGCATCTAGTGTGTTCGTTAGAGGCTCCTTTTAATAGATAATTCCATCATGATCTCAGCAGGGTTTCTCTATGTGGATTAAAGAGCAGTCCAGATCATAAAATTGTTTGAGCTAGCGTAAGTATCTAGAAGGCCTTAGCATGTAACCTTCTGAAACTCACCAGGAGTGACTTCATGGCTACAGAAATGTTTAGGTTTGAAAGAATCTCCAACGTGGAGGCATTGACAAGAGACAGGGGAGTCTTAGCCCATGGCTTGTGTCAAGTCCTTTCTGAAAACTGCAGTAGCAACAGCTGAAGATAGGCAAAATTTATCAACTGAATGGTAATTTCTGTTGATCACAGAAGTGGAAGTATGACACAACTTCATGCTATGATCTGAGGAACCTTTACTCCTCCTGAAGCTGCTCAGCAATTCAGGATAAGGTCATTGATTGGAGAAGGCAATTATATTGAAAACAGACAAGGACCTTGGACTTTCTACTTCAGTTTTTGGTGTTGCAAAGTTTAGAGTTCTGCTCAGCAGCTTTCCATGTGACCTCCACTATATAGCTTGGCAATACTATGACTAATGGATCAAGGCACTGATACTGTGTTCTTCATTTGATTTGGTTTTTCTCACCTCCCCAGCCAAGGAACTCTGCTCACTTCTCTGCTGTTGTTTTAGGCTTTTTGGCCAAGACGGCCTGTGCGCCTCCTGTGACAAGCGGATCCGGGCTTACGAGATGACCATGCGGGTGAAGGACAAAGTGTATCACCTTGAATGCTTCAAATGTGCTGCCTGCCAGAAACATTTCTGTGTTGGGGACAGATACCTCCTCATCAACTCAGACATAGTATGTGAACAGGACATCTATGAGTGGACTAAGATAAATGGAATGATCTAGCAAAGACATGCCTTGTAGTCTATAAAAGACATCTCACGGGCGACACCAATGCGTAGCTGCAGTGAGGAGAGCATCACTTGAGCTATGGACTTTCTCTAAAACAGGGGGAAAATACCACGGAGTCAGCCCTTTGCAGACAGTGCTACGTAGAATCTAAACTACATATAGGTGAAGAAGGGAAACTGAAGCTATAGTAGATAGACTGACTTCTGTTAACCAAGGCGCATGGACAATAACTGACATCAGCCGTGTAGGTGAGATTTGGGGAACAAACTCAACGCAATACCGAATTCTCATAACTGGAAAAAGAGTAGGGACTTCTGTAAAGAGATGTTATGACTTTGTCACCTGCAGACTAGGATTGTGCAACTGAATTTCCTTTTCGCCTTTTAGTTGCTGAGTTTAGATGACAGCTCCTAATGTAGGCATGAGGAAGAACACTGAAAGAAAAGGGCCGTCACTCACTTACTTGGTCATTCCATATGGCCTTACACTTCGGGTAGGAGAGAAAGAGGGAAGAGGGTGGGGATTATTTTTGCATGGATATTTTTTTTTTTTTGAACAGTGCATCCTCTAGTCCCAAACTCTTCTTTAAAAAAATCCTGCTAAATCATTGTTTTCAGGCACTGCTGTTTTAAGATGAGATGTTCCACAGATCATTTCTATACAAATATAAATCTAAAGAGTTGTTCAACTATTTTATTAACTTAGATTATATCGATAAAATATTTGTTGTGTGTAGTAAGACTCTGCAACTTTAATAAAAATAACAGAAGATTTGAGTGTTGTTATTTCCTTTGTTTTTTTTTTTTTTGAGATGGGCTGGATTTTTGTTTGTACTATTTCTTTCACTGTTTGTAGCAGAGTTTCTACACTTTGTCTATGGCTAATGCCTGCTGGATCCACTTATGGTTTTGTTTCAACACAGTAATGTGAGAACATTGAGGTCTCAGTAAGCCTCGCAGAGATCACACTAAGGAGAAACTAGATAGTGTTGTAGGAGAAATTAGACAGTGTTGTATGACACTGAGGATCTTTGGTGTTTATGAGGATGTTTTGAGACTGGTGGCCCACAGACAAATGCATCTGTGTGTTACTTCACTATAAGGACAGAGGCTATCTGATCTCACAGGAGATCATGTAAGATTAAGGTCTCCTAGAAAGGTAGCTCGTCCTGATTTTGCTCTGGATGATTGAATCCAGTATAATATCACTAGAACCAATCAATATTTGCTAGTATTTAGAAAGAATTAAGTTCAAAGCCTTTCCTGTAAAGACTATTGTCACTTGCCTCTTAAACAGAAGCAAGTTTCTTAGCATTACAGCAATACTAAGAACATGAGAAGTAGGCAAAAATGGACATTCAGTATCTTACTCCCACAGAGACAAGTAGTGGGTGTTCAGAGAGCAACCTCCATATGAAGCCTTTCCAGCTTGCAGGAAGGTCCAACAAGCTTTGTGTGAGCTTGCCTTCAGACTCCTCTGCTTAACACTGACTCACAGACATCCTCCATGAGTTTGCCTGGTTCCTTTTTTTTGACTCTTTGGCCTCCAGAAAGTCCCAAAACAATGATTTTCACAGTTTAAATCTACGCTGCGTTTATTTCAAACCTTCTTGCCTGATAACTTCATTGGTTGACCATCATTGTTCAGCCTGGAGAAGAGAAGGCTCTGGGGAGACCTTCAGGCAGCCTTCCAGTACCTGAAGGGGGCCTACAAGAAAGCTGAAGAGGGACTTTTTACAAGGACATGTAATGACAGGACAACGGGCAATGGCTTTAAGCTGAAAGAGAGGAGATTTAGATTAGATCTCAGGAAGAAATTTCTTACATCGAGAGTAAGAACAGGATCAGGTTGCCCAGAGAAGCTGTGGATGCCCCATCCCTGGAAGCATTCAAGGCCAGGTTGAATGAGGCTTTTAGCAACCTGGTCTAGTGGAAGGTGTCCCTGCCCATGGCAGGAGGGTTGGAACTAGATGATCTTTAAGGTCCATTCCAACCCAAACCATTCTATGATTCTACATTGTGAGAGATAATGGTAATTTCCTATCACCTTTTTTTTCACTACTCGACTTTGATGACCTATATCGTATTCCCTCCGCCTTATCTTTCCTGAGATGAATAGTCTAAGTTCCCTCTTGCATGAAAGCTGTTTCACGCCTCTGATAATCTCTGTTTCTCATCTCTGTAAGTTTTCTGGTTCTACGTTATCATTTTCAAGAGTGTCACTAGAACTGCATGTTGTGTTCAAACATACCAAAAAAACAAAGCTTGTAACACAGTTGAACAAGTCTGACAGTCTGCTCAGAAGATGGTTGGCATCTTTATTCACCCCATCAGTACTAACACCTAAGAAATAGCACCTAAGCATATGGATATCTATTTCTCTGATTATTTTCAATAAACCTGTCACTGAAGGGATCTCACATCTGAGCAGCAGCACTGATCACTGACAACATTTTACATTTTACAATGGATATTCCGAGACCAATTTTTTCTTTTCTTGCTTCTGTTGTCACAACTAGCATTGCAGGCAAAACCTTTCAATCTTATTACCCGTGAAATTGGAAACAATACGTAACGAGATCATACTTGAGGAGTATAGTTTGAGGGCTCTGTGATTCAGCTCTTCTCAAGTGATCTGCTGACCTCTGGAGGCCACAGGCAGCTGGTTATAATTATAATTATTAGCCTAAAATGTATTCTCACTAGCACAGACAAGAAAGCTATGTACCCAAGGAAAATACAGCTACCATCTCTCTTCACTCTCAGCAGCTCCTTTCAAATATTTGATCCAGCTAGAAATGCAGTCTCAATATCCCTGTGAGTTCACACAGCTTGGTGGATGTAGCCAGGATGCCAATGCAGGGTGGAGGCACACAATTCATTCTTCAGGTGGGTGAGTGGGAGCACATACACACAGTGAGTGTTGTCAGACAAGGTAGTGCCAAGAGTTTTGTGGCAGGTGCCTTTAAAGCTTTCCAGGTCATCGTGCCCTGCCATGTCATTGCGATGTCCCTCTCAGAGCCCCTCTTCTTTGGCCCCTTCTCCTTTCCCTGAAAAAATTTACCTTGATAGCACTATTGTATGAGCAGGGCAGAGGAGTGCTTACAGCTTCGTGAACATCTACTAGTTCACGGCGAGAAAATTTTGCAGCTGATGACAATCGGCTATACAGCTGATTTTTCTGTAGTCAAACACTTAATGATGGAGATGAACAGGTACCAAAGGGAGTATCGTGCACTGGGGAGACTGGACTTCGCTCCATCTCGTGGTGCTGCCAGGTGAAGGGTCTCTGAATGAAGACCATGCATTTCAGATGGCAGGTAGCCATCTGCTGATAGTCCTAACCGTGCAAGGGGAAGAGGGAGATAAAATGAGCTTCCCCTTGACCAGGTAAGCCATGATTTTGACTTTTAGAATGGCTATGAAGAGGTTTTGATCTCCTACAGCATAATGGTATAATTGACTCTAAAATAACTGCAATCACAGAGTTACACCAGCATAACAATAGCATCGATGTGGTCAGAATCAACAGGTATCATTACAGGTAAGAGTTTTGACACTTGTTCCCTAAACCCTTTCCAGTGTAATTTTTCATCTTCCTCAAGCATGCTGCAGAGCTGATTTCCATCATTCCACCTCACGGAGAGGTTTGACTGAAAATTTAGTGTAAGGTGCCTAGTTAACATCTGGGTTGAGATTAGGTAAGAGCGTCAATAGTCCAGTGAGGCTTTGTGGTTTTGCACTAATGAGAGCAAGATCTGTGTTTTGTTCCCACGTCAGAAAGTATTTCCTCTGTGACTTTCGGTAAGGTAGTTAAATATTCTCCTTCTCAGTTACCTGCCTGTGAAAGAGAGCTATTATCACTTATTCTGTAAAATTTTTAAAACTTCCTAATGGAGATAAAGTCATTGTTTTAAGTAAGGTATTATTTATACACGAAAACACATTTTTAAACCTAAATGAGTGTATTGTGAAGGAAGAATGCTTCAGTGTCCACAGTGGATATTCCCATTTTATTATAAAACCAACCATTTTATCTAGTCTATGTAACTTCAGAAAGAGCTTAAGCTGAACTGGAAGACGACATCGTGTGCCACAAGAAGAGTCTCCACTTAAGCAGTAGTATTATTCTACCTGTCTAATCATACCACTCTGCTGGTGGACTTTTCCCTGTCAGATTCCTAACTCTTGCTTTCCAGATCCAGGAGAAAAGAGAACAGATTTCTCTTGGAATTAGTGTAACCAACACTTCACCTCTGTCCTCATCTCAAGTACATTCCTTACCGTAAGGACTCTTTCCTGAAATAAAAAGAAAATACAATGTTCTGAAAACAATGGCGAAAATAAAAGCAAAGATAACCTAAAGGCATTGGCAAAAAGCAAAATAATCTGAATATGACTTCATCAGCCGATATTCAAACGCATTGTCCTTCATATATTTTCAATAGCAGCAGTATTTTAAAAGGCATATCATCCTTCAAGATTTCCCTTCTTTGTCTCCATTATTCAATGTCAGGGTAGGAAGATGAGAGCATTACCATCGATATCACTTTTTTAATTCCATGCCCTTGAATAAGGGCAATAAGAACCCCGCGTAATAGAGTTTTCAGCGGAGAGAGTAAATGGGAATCGGTTGTTAATTCAATTCAGGATATAGAAGCTGTCTCTCCCTTCTCTTTTTCTCAAGGTAATACTGTGCCTCCAATTGTCATTATACCCAAGAATCAAATTATTTGAATTCTGGACACATCAGCACAAAACCAAAGACTCCCTGCCAATTTCGTAGCCCGCTTGGAAGAGAACATCAGAGAGCATCACTCATTTATACGACTGCCAGCCTGAGACTGTAAATTCAGAAAACAAGAAGGCCTCAGGTGCTGCACTTTAACATGTCTTTCTGCTCCTGAATCACCACCACCACCCCCACCCCCTTACCATCCCCGTCACATACAAGGTAACATTTTATCTCTGAAAGGCAAAGCTTTCAAGCACCTGCCAGGGTAAGCCTAGACTCTGTATGGCCTGAATGTGAATTGAAAATGAGACTATTAAGTATATTAATTGATAATGGTCACTTGTGACTTTGAAGGAGATTCATGACACTTGGAAAAATAATCTATAAAGATTGTTATTGCTCTAAAAAGACAGTGCTGCATCAGCTTATTTCACTTGCAGCAGGTTCATCTCTTTTATAGAGCGTACGGCACTGCAGGCAAAGGGAATTTTAATAGCCACTGGAAAAAAAGATCTATTCCTCTGTCCCATGACAAAAAAGAAACCATAAAAAGACACAGAACAGAGAGACTGAGATACGATTTCAGAAAACATTTAAGGAACTATAATTAACTTAAGATTCAGAAGTCTGTCAATGAGATGAAGATTAAACTGGCAGAAAGTTGAACCTTGTTTGAAGCAACTTGTTCCCTCCTGCTGTGGGTTGTTTTGCACCAGGCTAATGAGAAGGCATAGCTCTGAAAGGTTCCGAATAAACCAGCAGATCTCTGACAGTTAATTAATAAACACATTTTGCAGGAGTATACCATGTT